TATTTCCATTATTACCCACAAATATGTGGGTCATACTAATGAACTTATCTATATAGTCATGAATCTCTGATTCGATTTGTTTGAGAGAAATAGAAGAAAGAAACAGGAAGCTGGAGGAGCAAAAAAATCAATAGATATTTTTTAAATATAGAAATATATCAGAACTTTTCTGATATAGAAGTATATCAGATGAAAAGAGAGTAGCTGGAAAGTGAGAAACTTAGTAGGGTTAGTAGGGTCGAGTCAAGATTCTTGTATTAGTTTGAATAACAAAATAGGACTCTTGACCAGTGAATCTTTGTGTAACTGATATCCATTGTTTTTACAGTCACGTGAAGTTTCATGTCTGGAAGTCAGAGTGGATACGGAGAAACTGAAGCAATTCACAAGTGAGGTCATTGCATTATGAGTTGGTTTTGCCTGGGTTGCTTTGGGTTAGAACTAGGAAGACTAAGATGCTAAATGACTGTCATGGTGAACCTATGGTAGGTGTGCCATAGGTGGCACGCAGAGCCATATCTGCTGGCACACAAGCCACCAGCTCCAGTGTGCATTGTTTCAGAACTTCTGGTAGGCCCGTGGGGCCCATTTTTTGCCCTTTGCAGGCTCCAGAGACTTTCCTGAAGCCTGGAGAGGGCAAAAATAACTTCCTACGGATCCCTGGAGGAAATACCAAGTTCAGCTTAGAGGCAAGCAGTGTGACATGTGTGTGTGGGGGAGTGTGTGGGGAGTTGTGCACACATGCGCATGTGGGGCGTGCTTTTCATTATGGATGCTGGCAGACATGTGCCCTATTGTGCACGCTCGCTCACATTTTTGGCATCCAACAACAAAAAGGTTAGCCATCACTGCTATATGAGATGGGCACAGTGGTGGGTTTCAAAAATTTTTAGGACCTCTTCTGTAGGTGTGGCCTGCTTTGTGGGAGTGGCTTGCGGGCCATGTGACCAGGTGGCTCAGAAACTCTGGCATTTGAAGCATGCAAGTCTTAAAGCTGTTACCCTTGCACCCCTAACCCTTTAGAAAAAAAACCTCCAGGGGTGTTCAAACTNTGACTCAGCCTTCCATCCTTCCAAGGTCAATAAAACGAGGACCCAGATTGTTGAGGGCAAGATGCTGACTCTGTAAACTGCTTAGAGAGGGCTGGAAAGCAGTGAGAAGTGGTATATAACGGTTATTGCTACGGCTATTGCCTCCTCTTCCAGCTGAAACCAACATACCGCCGTGACCAGCAGAGCCGGTCGTCTCCCAAAGGAATCGGAGGCAGCTCCGGTGAGAGGCGAGGCCAGAAACTGAAGCAGAGAAAACAGGGAGCCGATGAGACCTGGAAGAGAAGATGGGAGACGGGGAGGTTCCGTGGGTCGCACGCCATCTTCCGTCCACTGACCCCACAACTTAGTTTACCCCTTTTTTTCCCCACCACTAAGTATTGAAAGCAGGAGTGTCCAACCTCTTCAAGACCTGTGGACTTCAACTCCCAGAATTCCCCTGGGAGAATTTGCTGGGGGATTCTGGGAGGTGAAGTCCACCGGTCTTAAACGTTGCCGAGATTGGACAGTCCTGCTTAAAAGCCCTGCTTTCACGGGTCAAAGGGGAACGCACCTCCAACTCGACCAGTGGTGGGATTCAAATTTTTTTACTACCAGTTCTGGGGCCATGGCTTTGTGGGCGTGGCATGGCTTTGTGGGCGTGGCTTTGTGGGTGTGGCTTAGTGGGCGTGGCAGGGGAAGGAACTGCAAAATCCCCACTCCTTTCCCACCAACCTGCTTTTTCTAACCTCCTGTTCAGGGAAACAAAAGAAGATCAGCTGGGAGGAGGCAGCAGGGGCGTGGCCAGCCTACTTGCCGGTTCTCCAAACTACTGAAAAATTCCCACCACCGGTTCTGCAGAACTGGCTGAATACCACCTCTGATATTTGCCACGGGCAATTCACCACGAATCAACTCGCCACGGGTCAAGAGTGTACACGAATATCAAAGAAATAGAATCTTAAAGAAAGGAGGAGGGGCAACATAAAAGGCGAATGACGAAGTAAAATGGAGTTTTAATTGTTTTAAACAATTGGCGAGTTGGCCGTGGCAAATTGTCCCATTCTGTGCTGTGGGTTCCTTCATCCGTGCCCTGCAGCCCCCCCCCCCACATTTTTCTAGACACCAGAGAGGGGAGGGGAGGGTCGAACACCAGCCCGGCCAGGGACTTATCTCCAAGGCCCAACATTCCCCTCGGGCAGGTCGTTTCCTCCAGACCAGGTGCCAAATGAGGCAACGCCCTGCAATAAAGGGAATTTCCTACCTCCAAACAAGACGCTGTTGTACTTCCTTTCTGGCGGAATGCCAAGGCTGCCACTGAACCAGTCCACGCCGGCTTGTACCCTCCTGTAGAGCCCATCCTGGGGAAGGAAAAAAGGGATTGAGCAAGGGGAAGGAGCTGGGGAAGCCACCTCTAGCCCCATTCCTTTCAATTCTGGTATTTATGGCAATCTTCCAATGTTTAAGAGGCTGCCACTAAGAAGAGGGGGTCAACCTCTTCCCCAAAGCACCAGAAGATAAGACAAGAAAGAATGGGTGGAAACGGATCAAGGAGAGAAGCAAGCTGGAATTAAGGAGAAACTTCCTAACGGTGAGGACAATTAACCAGTGGGACAGAAGTTGCCACCAGAAGTTGTGGTATTTCATCACTCGAGTTTTTAAAGAAGAGATTGGACAGCCACCTGTCAGAAATGGTCTAGGGTCTCCTGCTTAAGCAGGGGGTTGGACTAGAGGATCTCCAAGGTCCCTTCTGAATTGAGTTCTAGCGCTGCCTTAGTTCCTCTCTCTCAGCACAATCCACCTCCCAGGATTGCTGTTTTGGGGGAAATAGGAGAAGGAACATGTATTGGATATGTTTGAGTAATTTGTGAAAATAATAAAGGGGAGATATTAATCAATCAATCAATCAAATCATTCCACTAAGGTGGGAAACATACTGTTCTGTCATTTTCTTGATCCCAGAAGCACCTTTCTCTCCCCTAAAAAAAAAATATCTTCAAACATCCATCCCACCAAGTGCATCCTTGGTATCATAGTCATCTTCTCCCTCCCGCAATACATCAAATAACCTTTTCATATTTCATCTATTATCTATAAACAAAGCTTCAAAGCTTCATCATTCAGTCCCTGATGTCAGCAAAAGTTCAGAAGGATTACCGGAGATAAGAACGCATCTATTTTAGCGGTGATCAAATAAGCCAACTTTACATTCCTTCCTTTTAACAATCTGAAATGTTTTTTTTTTCAAAATATCCCTTTACTTTTAATCTTCTCAAATAAAGTCCCGAAACTTCCATTCTTTTCATTTTCACAAAATTCTTCACAACTTTACAAGAGCTTTCTATGCCTGCTTTTCCAGAGGGGGGTCGGACTGGCTTTAAAACTGTGGGATGTTTGTTGCGGAATTTGAAAACAACAGCTAGGTTGCATGGTGTCGCTTTCTCGCGCCTCTCTGGAGTGTGTCCTGACACTTCCTTTCCAAGATGAGGGGAAGAGTATCACATTCCAGCGTGCCGCTTCAGCGTTTCAGCCATTGCAAACTTCCTTATTTTAAGTTTCACGATTAGGAAACGCCGTGACCACTGTCGAAGTGAAATGTCAAAAAATAAAATAAAAAAAGACCACGCACAATTCAACACATGGCAAGAACATCTATATCCGAAACGACAATCTGTTTAGTGTGAGTCACTAAAAAAACTTATGGTTAACCAAGGACAGAATCAATACAACAGTTGGGGATGCAGAGCTAATTAAAATACTTGTGGGTTGGATTAAAATTCATCCAAAGCAATGGTGCTCTTCAGCCGGTTCGCACCAGTTTGAGCGAACCGGTGGCCAGTGGGAGGCTCCACCCACCCACCTGCACATAATCACGCCCCATTTTTGACACTCTGCGCATGCACAGAAGGTCATGCGCACAGGGGTCCTACATTTGCGAACTGGTAGGGGAGGGGAAGGGAATACCACTCCTGATCCAATCCTGTGTGGATACAGGGCTCACTCACTTGATCCCACATTCCCTGACAGCATCAAGAATCCTCTATGCCCAAATTGGCATTACTCGGACATGAATACGATTGGTATTTCAGGAGAAGAGTCCTCCTCTGCTCACAACAGAATCCCTTCTGCCACCAGGCTCAAAGTTTTGGGCTTGGACAACCCAAAACTACGCCGACTAAGGTCTGGACTTAATTGTAGTACACAAAATTGTCTGCTACAACGTCCTACTTGTCAACATCTCCTTCAGCTTCAACCTCAATAATACTCGGGCAAACAATCGATACAAACTCAAGGTCAACCGCTCCAAACTCGGTTGCAGGAAATACGACTTCAGCAACAGAGTGGTCAACGCCTGGAATGCTCTACCTGACTCCCTTGTTATATCCTCAAACCCCCATAACTTTAACCTTAAACTGTCCACCGTGGACCTCACCCCATTCCCTAAGAGGTCCGTAAAGGGGGCGTGCATAAGCGCACCAGCGTGCCTACTTTCTCTCTCCCACTGTCCCCATTTATTTATACTCATTTCCTTTTGTCCATGTCCATGTTTATGCTTATACCTGCTATCTTGTACATGTTTGACAAGCTAATAAATAAATAAACAAACAGAAGGACACTTCGATTCCCACAATGGAGGAACGGCTGCAAAAATCGATGTAGTTAGCGGAGATGGTGGAATTGATTGCTTGGATTCAAGGGGGAAAAAATCCCCACACAATTACTTTTGTTCCTCCTTGGAAACCGTTTTCTGGACTTTGTGCTCGAGGTGAGGGGGGGGGGGGAAATGAAAGTTTGAAAGAGCCGAGGTGGCGCAGTGGTTAGAGTGCAGCACTGCAGGCTACTTCAGCTGACTGCTAGTTCTGCAGTTCGGCTGTTCAAATCTCACCGGNTATTCTATTCTACTCTACTCTATTTTTTTAAAAAGAGTCATAAGGCAACCCCAGGATAGAAAATGGAAAAAAAAAAACTTGCTGTCTCTGGAAGGTCCTCCCATCTTGTGATGGACTGCCGAGAACCGGAACAAGGCCCAGGGACTGATCAGGTCGAAGGCCGACTGAAATCCCGATACCACGGAGGACACCTGCCCAAAACGCAGAAGAGAGACATGACGATGGGGCCGAAGGGCATTTCCCCCACCCTCCCCTACCTACACTTCCACACCTATGCTGAACATAATGCAGATCGCTGATGGTTACCCCGGCAACCAGTCCCCCCCCCCAAATCCAGATGTCCTTATCTGTGTCTTCTACAAGCCACTGAATCGGTCAATATACTTTAAGAAGACTTGGAATCTGTGGGACGTAGACTCCGACTAGGGGTGGGATTCAAAAATTTTAGCAACCAGTTGTCTGCCCGGTTTCTGAGTGGGTTGTGAAGTGAAACAACTTCAAAGAAAATCCAGAAAGTCCAGTTGCCTCTTGAAAAGAAAATCATCTTTAAGGATTTAAGACTTGGGGGATTTCAACTCCCAGAATTCCCTAGCCAGCATCTGGGAGTTGAAGTCCACGAGTCTTTAAAAGTCCCCAAATTTGGAGATCCCTGGCATAAGATGGTCCATCCAATCTATCCCATGCAAGGTCCAACCATCGGCTTCTTTCTTCCGGAAGCCGTTGAGGTCAAAAAAAGGACACAACTGTTGTTTTATTTTCCTGACTGGTTTCAGAAAACGTATTTATTACCCGTTTTTCCTTGGGGAGCGTCTCCGGCAAACAGAAGAAGATGAACAGGAAATCAGCCAGAGCGAAAATGGTGGCAAAGATGGCGGCTCTGGTGTAGAAGACTTGGTCCTTCTCCGTCTCCAGAGCGAGGAAGGCGCCCAGCATCGGCCCAAGGGTGAAGCCCAGGGAGAAAGCCAACCCAATCATGGCCTGGAGGGAGAATTCAACAAACGTCCTTTAGCTAACATGCCTCCTTCCAGAGCAACAAAACCTGACCCAAATCCCTGATTTGGTTTCTCCTGGGTCCGCGCCCCATTGTTCATAAGTACCGTATTTTTCGGCGTATAAGACGCTCTGAAGTATAAGATGCACCTAGCTTTTGGGGAGAAAAAAAAATCTGCCTCTCCCTCCCAGCAATTTGCCTCCTTGCAGCAAAAAACAAGTTTCAGTTTCAGCACAGCCTGATTAGCACAAACAGCTGATTGTCGGGCCTCTCTATCATCAGCTGTTTCAGGCTGCAGGGATTGCCATAGCCTATTGCCATCTCCATGCACCTTATTTTCCACCCGTTCTGGATAGCGGGGATCGGAATGGGCAGAAAATGGGGTGCACGGAGGCTGAAAACGGGGCGTGCAGAACCCAAAAATGGGATGCGGAGGCC